CACTCAATGCCTCTTTTGCAGACCACAACACCCAAAAGGAGAGAGAGAACAAAAGGGAATGCCCTGCCACAGAGGCAGGGTGGGAGGGGGGGTGGGGGGGATATTATCCATGGTGGTGGAAAATGGGCACTGGTGGAGGGATGGGTATTTGATCATTGTATGACCGAAACCCAAGCACAAAGATTTGTAAATCTACAACTGTACCTCATGGCGCTTCACTAGTAAAATAAAAAAAAAATGTCATACTCATTCCTCATGGGAAAGTAAATGTAAAATAATGTAAGGTAAGTGGAAGAAAAGAAAATTCAGAAAGAATTATAGATTAAAAAGAAAAAGAGGGCTGGAGAGAGCTCAATGGGCTGATGCATGCTTTGTATGCAGGAGGCCCTGGCTGGATCCCTGGCACTGCATGGTCCCCAAGCAAAAAACCAGCTGTGAACCAAAACCCAAAACAAAAAAAAACAATCAACCAAACAAAAAAAACAAAGATAAAAAAACCAGGGCTGGGGATGTGGCTCAGGTAGCAGAGCAACTGCCCTGCCTGTCTGAGTCCCTGGGAGAGCAGCATCAGAAGACCCTCAAACTCTGCCACTTGTGACCTCTTTTCACCTAATAAATTTTTATATGATCTGGGGTATACAAGTATATAAAATATGTATACAAATAAAGTATCTGCTATAATCAATCACATAATTTTAAACCATTGTATTATTGAATCACTGTGAGACAGATCTTTACAAAGCTATTCATAATTTGATTTCAGCCATACAGTGTCCAACACTCATCCCTCCAACCTCCACCAGTGTACATTTCCCAGTACCAGTGTCCCCAGTTTTCCTCCCATCACTTCCGTTCCCCTCCCCGCTGCCACGCAAGCCCGCCTCTATGGCAAACATTTTTCTTCTCTCTCTCTCTCTCTCTCTCTCTCTCTCTCTCTCTCTCTCTCTCTCTCCACCCCTCATTTTCCTTTTTCTTTTTGGCTTTTTGGGTCACACCCAGCAATGCACAGGTGTTACTCCTGGCTCTGCACTCAGGAATTACTCCTGGCGGTGCTCAGGGGACCATATGGGATGCTGGGAATCGAACTCGGGTTGGCTGCGTGCAAGGCAAACGCCCTACCCGCTGTGCTATCGCTCCAGCCCCCTCATTTTCTTTTTGAGCACTGTAGTTTGCAGTAAAAATACTGAAAGATTATCTGGTATATCCCTTTACCTTTACCTACTTTTAACAATCAGTATTTGTTCAGTGTGATCATTTCCAGTTATTATTGTCGTCCTGGTCCCTTTTCTATCTTACCTAGCCTCTACCCCCCACACACTTGTGCTTGATTTCAACCACTGACCAGTCCTCCTAGACCGTTTTCTTGGCCGTGGATATGTCTTCTAATATATACACAATATATATATAAATATATAAATACATATATATATATATATATATATATATATATATATATATATGGGCTGGAGGGATAGCATAGCGGGTAGGGCATTTGCCTTGCAAGTAGTCGATCCGGGTTTGATTCCTCTCCCCTCTCGGAGAACCCGGCAAGCTACCCAGAGTATCTTACTTGCACAGCAAAGCCTGGCAAGCTACCTGTGACTTACTTGATATGCCAAAAACTGTAACAAGTCTCACAATTTGTTGTGAGACGTTACTGGTGCCCGCTTGAGCAAATCGATGAACAACAGGAGGATAGTGCTACAGTGCTATATATACAGATACATATCACTTGATCACCTGACATCCCATTACTCATTGATTTGCTCGAGCGGGCGCCAGTAACGTCTCCATTGGTACTTGTCGCGTGCTAGAGTAGCCCAATGGCATCTGCTTACTCAGGAACACAAAGAGCCTCAAACTGATCACTCAGGGTCTTGACGAAGAAGTCTGACCATCTCGTAGGTGGGCGGCCACGCGATCTTTTGACTCCTGTGGAATCCAGTCGGTAATGGGTCTAGTCCAGCAGTCATTTCCAAATCACATTATGTGTCCAGCCCATCTGATTTTCAATGCCTTGGCAAACGAGACAGCATCCCTGATTCTTGATCGTTGACGGAGGTCGGAACTCCGGATTCTTTCTCACTTGAGTGAAGCGTGATACTCCAAGCATAGCTCTTTTGATTCCTCTTTGGGAGATCCGAATAGCATTCTCATCCTGTTTTTGTAGGGCCCAGGTCTCTGAGGCATATGTTAATGCAGGAAGAACAGTGGAATCGAAGAGATGTGCCCAGAGCCAGAGGTTCTTCGTCCTCTTAGCTATTTCTTCGACATTCTTGAAGGTGTTCCAAGCTGCTCTCTTCCTCCTGTGCAACTCAGGTGCCAGGTCATTCGTCATGTTGACTTCTCGACTTAGGTACACATAACACATGCATTCGGAGATGTTCATTCCATTGAGAGTGAATGGAACATCAGGAACAAGACCGTTTCTCATAAAATTGTCTTCATGAGATTCAGCTATAGTCCGACCTTTCCACACTCAACAGTCAAAGTCGGCCAGCATTTGTGCCGCTTGGGCTAATGTTTGGTGTTATTAGAACAATGTCATCAGCGAAGCAGAGGTGGTGTAGTTGCGGACCACCTATCTTTACTCCCATTCCTTCCCATTCCCTTCGTTGCATGACATTCTCGAGGGTGGCACTGAAGAGTTTCGGTGAAATGGTATCACCCTGCCGAACCCCTCCTCTTGACATCTATGATCACTTCCTTGTAGAATGGTGAGATCCTGGTAGCGAATCCATAATACAGCTCACAGAGGATCCTGATGTATTGAGTTTGAATGCCCTGTTTGGCTAGGGCTTTGATGATCACTTCAGTTGCAACAGAATCAAAGGCTTTCCTTAAATCAATGAATGTTAGACAGAGCGGCATCTTGAACTCCCGAGAAACCTCAATGAGCTTGGTTATCATGTGGATATGGTCAATCGTGCTGAATCCTTTTCGGAACCTGGCTTGCTCGCATGGTTATCTTTTGTGTAGATATCACAAATTCCATATCTGTCCCTTTCCTTCTGACTCATTTCACTCAGCATGATACTCTCCAAGTTCATCCATTTATAGGCAAATTTCATAATTTTTTATTTGTCTTATGGGCTGAAGCGATAGCACAGCGATAGCATTTGCCTTGCACGCAGCCAACATGGCTGATGCGAGTTCAATTCCTGCGCCCCTCTCGGAGAGCCCGGCAAGCTACCGAGAGTATCTCGCCCTCACGGCAAAGCCTGGCAAGCTACCCGTGATGTATTCGATATGCCAAACACAGTAACAACAAAGTCTCATGATAGAGACGTTACTGGGCCCGCTCGAGCAAATCGATGAACAACGGGAGGACCGTGATTCTTATTTGTCCTATAAGCTGAGTAGTATTCCACTGTGTAGATGTGCCATTGTTTCTTCACCCATTCATCTGTTCTTGGGCACTCAGGTTGTTTCCAGATTCTGGCTATGGTGAATAGTGCTGCAATGAACATAGGAGTGCAGACACTGTTTCTACTGTGTGTTTTTGGACCCCCAGGGAATATTCCCAGAAGTGGTATTGCTGGGTCCAGTGGGAGCTCAATTTCTATTTTTTTTTCTTTTTGGGTCACACCCAACGATGCTCAGGGGTTACTCCTGGCTCATGCACTCAGGAATCACTCCTGGCTGTGCTCAGGGGACCATATGGGATGCTGGGAATCGAACCTGTGTCGGCCATGTTGGCTGCGTGCAAGGCAAATGCCCTATCTGCTGTGCTATCGCTCCAGCCCAACAATTTCTAATTTTTTGAGTAATGTCCATATTGTTTTCTAAAAAGTTTGGACCAGTTGGCATTCCCACCAATGAAGGAGAGTCCGTTTCCCATATCCATGGCAGCACTGGTTGTTCTTATTCTTTTGGATGTGTGCCAGTCTCTGTGGTGTGAGATGATATCTCCTTGTTTTGATTTGTATCTCCATGATTTTTAATTAAAAAAATGACCATTTTTATGTGCCTTTTGGCCATTTAAATCTCTTGAGAAAGTTTCTATTCATTTCTTCTTCCCATTTTTTGATGGGGTTGGATTTTTTTTTCTTAAAGTTCAACCATTGCCATGTATATCTTTGATACTAATCCCTTATTAGAAGGGTTTTGGGTAAATAAACTTTCCCATTCCATGGGCTCTCTGTATCTTGATCACTATTTCTTTTTTAGGTGCAGAAGCTTCTTAGTTTAATTAAGTCCCACTTGTTTATCTTTGCTTCTACTTGCTTCGTCAGTGGTATTTCATCTTTGAAGATACCTTTAGCTTCAATATTGTGAAGGGTTTTGCCTACCTTTTCTTCCAAGTACCTTATGGATTCGGGTCTGATGCTGAAGTCTTTAATCCATCTTGATCTGATTTTTGTGCATGGTGTTAGAGGCCCATTTTTTTTTTTGCATGAAGCTGTACAGTTTTGCCAGCACCACTTGTTAAAGAGGCTTTCCTTGCTCCACTTCACATTTCTTGCTCTTTTATCAGAGATTAAAAATTATATATTTGAGAGTGTGTGTCAGGATATACAACCATATTCCATTGGTCTGCAGTTCTGTTTTTATTACAATACCATGCTGTTTTAATTACCACTGCTTTGTAGTTCAGTTTGAAGTTGGGGAAAGTGATGCCTTCCATCTTCTTTTTTCTCAAGGATTGCTTTAGCTCTTTGTGGGGGGTTTATTGTTCCATATGAATGTAAGCTAAGCTGAGCTGAACTGAGCTGATATTCATATGGAACAATAACCCCTCACCAATAGCTTACATTTGGTAGACTGGGAACACCTGCAGGGATCTCCCAAAAGCCTCTATCTCCCCCCTCCCCCCAGGAGACCCCAGCAAGCTATTGAGGGTACCCAGCCCACACGGCAGAGCCTGGAAAGCCTGGCAAGCCCCCCCCCCCATGTACTAAATATGCCAACAACAGTAGATAAAATGGGTCTCATTTCCCTAACCCTGACAGAGTCTCCAGCTGAGTTGGGAAGAATGAGAGGGCTTATACTAAACAGACGGTGTGCACGTCAACGGGCAGGAAGGCGTCCTGTAAGCAGCTGGTGACCAAGGCGGTCTGCAAGAGCACGCCAGCCATGGGCGGTGTGAAGAAGCTGCACTGCTATTGGTCCAACACCTTGGTGCTACAAGAGATCTGCCAGCTGCCATTCCCGTGGCTGGTGCTCGAGATCACATAGGACTTCAAGACTGACCTGCATCCCAGAGCTCGGACATCATGGCACTGCAGGAGGTGTGAGAGGCCTACATGGTGGGGCTCTTCAAGGATACCAACCTCTGCGCATTCCCCACCAAGCGCATCACCGTTATGCCCAAGGGCATCCAGCTGGCGTGCTGCATCCACGGATAGAGAGCATAAAGATTACAATGCTAAAATCTCAGGGCTGGGACAAATGGAGACTCTACTGGCGCCCACTCAAGTAATAGATGATGGGATGACAGTGACAGTGATGAATTTCAGGAGTGTTTTGTCTATTTCTTTGAAAAATATCATGAGTATCCTTATAGGAACCACATTGAATCTCTGTAATGTTTTGGGGAGTATTGCCATTCTGACAATGTTAATTCTCCCAATCCATAAGCATGGTATGTGTCTCCCTTTCCTTATATATTCTTTCATTTCATGAAGCAGTGTTTTGTAGTTTTCTTTGTATAGGTCCTTTACCTCCTGAGTTAAGCTGATTTCAAGGTACTTGATTTTCTGAGGCAAGACTGTGAACGGGATTGGTTTTTTAATATCACTTTCTTCTCTTTTATTTGTATACAGGAAAGCCATGTACTTTTGTATATTGACTTTGTAACCTGTCATTCTATTATACAAATCGATTGTATTAGGAGTTTTTGCTAGAGGCTTTAGGATTCTCTAAGTATAGTATCATGTCATCTGCAAACAGTGAGAACTTGACTTCTTCCTTTCCTATCTGGATGCCCTTAATGTCTTTTTCTTCCCTAAGTGCTATGGCAAGTACTTCCAGTACTATATTGTATAGAAGTGGCGAAGAGTGGACATTCTTGTCTACCCCTGATCTTAGAGGGAAGGTTTTTAGTTTTTCCCCATTGAGGATAATGATTGCCATGGGCTTGTGGTAGATGGCTTTGACTACAGTGAGGAAAATACCTTTAATTCCCATTTTGTTGAGAGTTTTCATCATAAATGAATACTGGATCTTGTCAAATGCTATCCTGAATCTAGTGATATGATCACGTGGTTTTTATCTTTTCTTTTATTGATATAGTGTATTATGTTGATTGATTTCCTTATTGATAATAATAATTTATTTTTATTTTTTAACTTTAAATTTTAAATAAAATTTATTTTATCATTATCAATAATAATATTGATAATAATAATCCCTTATTGATTGTGAATAAGGGATCTTTGAAAGATTATGAGAAAAGAGATATTATTCTGATTATTAAATTTTGTCACTCAAGAGCTAGGAAATAAAGTAAGATAAAGTAGCCCAGGTATGAGCTGATAAAGGTCTAAAGTATTGAGACAGTGGGAATCAAAGAAGGAACAAATGCAAATTTTAATGTGTTGAAGAATTGACATGATTAATGGCATTCTAAAGCTATACTTGGTAAAATATTAAATTTGAAATCATATTTGTGGGACTGGAGAGATACTATAGAGGTTAAGGCCCTTGCACACAGCTAACCCAAGTTTGATCACTGGAAATATACATTCTCCCAACCACCTCCAGGATGATCCTTGAGCACAAAGCCAGGAGTATGCTTAGGTGTGGCCCTAAAACAACAAAATAATATTTTATGTTGAAAAGTAGGGCTGGAGCGATAGCACAGCTGTAGGGCATTTGCCTTGCATGTGGCCAACATGGCCAACCAGAGTTCGATTACTCCACCCCTCTTCGAGAGTCCAGCAAGCTACCTAGACTATCTCACCCACACGGCAAAGGCTGGAAAGCTACCCATGACGTATTCAATATGCCAAACACAGTAACAACAAGTCTCAGGATGGAGACATTACTGGGCCCGCTTGAGCAAATTGATGAACAACGGGAGGACAGTGCTTTATTGATGTGATGAATTATGTTGATTGACTTGAGACTGTTGAACCATCCTTGAGTCCCTGGGATGAATCCCGCTTGGTCATGGTATATGATCCTTTAGATGAGATGCTCTAATATTTTGTTGAGGATCTTTGCATCTGTTTTCTTTAGGGATATCAGCCTGTAATTCTCTTTTTTGCGGGGGGAGGGTGTCTCTGTCTTTTTTTTTTTGTATCAGGTCACATGTGCCTCATAGAAACTGTTTGGGAGTATTTCTGTGTCTTCAATTTCCTGGAAAAGCTTGAAAAGGACTGGCAATAGGTCCTCTTTAAAGGTTTGGAAGAATTCACTAGTGAATCCATCTGGACCTGTGATTTTGTTTTTGAGAACTTCTGATTTCCGTTTCAATTTCCTTGATAGTGATAGGTCTATTCAGGTATTCCAAATCTTCTGGGTTCAGCCTGGGGAGCTTATAGGAATTCAGGAATTAATCCATTTCTTCTAGGTTCTCTTGTTTTGTAATATATAGCTTCTCAAAGTAATCTCTAATGATCTTTTGGATTTCTGTGGTTTCTGTTGTGATGTCCCCCTTTTCATTTCTGATTTGGTTTATTAGAGTTCTCTTTCTCTTTCTTTGTGAGTCTTGCTTGTGGTTTAACGATGTTATTTTTTCAAATAACCAGCTCTTGGCTTCATTGATCTTTCGGGTTTTTTTTTTCTTTTTGGATTCTAGCTCATTAATTTCTGCTCTAAGTTTTATTATTTTTCCTCATGCCTGGTTTGGGCTCCTTTTGTTGGTCATTTTCTAAGATCTTAAGCTGTGAAGTCAAGCTACTTATGTGGGCCCTTTCTTCCATCCTGATAAACACTTGCAGAGCTACAGACTTTCCTCTTAACACTGCTTTAGCTGTGTCCCAAAAGTTCTGGTAGCTTGTGTCCTCATTTTCATTTGTTTCCGGGAATCTTTTGATTTCTTCTTTGATTTCCTCTCTAATCCACTGGTTGTTCAACAATGGTCTGTTTAATTTACACATGTCTGATTTGATTCTCCATTTCTCTGTGTGATTAACTTCTATTTTCAGTACATCACAGTCTGAAAATATAGTTGACACAATGCCTATCTTCTTGATTTTATTGAGGTATGTTTTGTGGCCCAGCATGTGGTCTATCTTGGAAAATGTCCCATGTGCTTTGGAGAAGAACATGTATCCGGCTTTTGGCAGATGAAAAGCCATATATATATATATAAGCCATATATATATTATATAAGCCATATATATAATATATATATATATATTAGCCCTCTCTCTTACATTTCTTCCTTCAGAGCTAGTACTTCCTTGCTCTTTTAGTCTCTATCAAGACGTGATAAGGTGTGTTGAAGTCTCCTATATCCAATGTCCTTCTTAAAGTCTATTAACAGTTGTTCTAAGTATTTTGCTGGCCCCTCATTGAGTGCATATATGTTTAGGAGTGCAATTTTTTCTTTTTTCTTTTTTTTGGCTTTCTGGGTCACACCTGGCGATGCACAGGGGTTACTCCTGGCTCTGCACTCAGGAATTACTCCTGTCAGTGCTCAGGGGATCATATGGGATGCTGGGAATCGAACCCAGGTGGCTGCGTGCAAGGCAAACACTACCCACTGTGCTATCACTCCAGCCCCAGGAGTGTAATTTCTTCCTGATGTACATATCCCTTGATTTAAGAAATACCCTTCACTGTCCCTTTGGGTCTTGTTCAGCCTGAAATCTATGTTGTTGAATATTAGTACGGCCACCCCGGCTTTTTTTGTTTTTGAAGGAGTTGTTTGCTTGAAGAATTGTTTTTTGTCCTTTGACTTTGAGTGTGTTTGCTCAGACTGTTCAGATGTGTTTCTTGTAGGCAGCAGAATGTTGGATTCAGGTTTCCAATCCATTTTGCCACTGTGTCTCTTAATTGGTGCATTTAGACCATTGACAGTACCAGGAATATGCCCTGAGCACCGCAGAGTGTGGCCCAGAAAAAGGGGGAAAAAAGTAGCAGGAATAATTAAAGATTCCCTCTGATGGGGCTGCAGAGACAGCTCAAAGGGCTGAAGCACATGATGTATGCACATGTCCTAGGTTCAACCTTCAGCACTTCATTCATGCCAGGGGGTTAGTTCAGGACCCCCCAGCACTGAATGAGGCAGGAGTAGTCTATAGCAATAAGGCAGCTGTGACCCTCCCAAAAAACAAACAATAAAAATACTGATGATGCAGCTGAATCTTATTTGGTTGGTTTGGAAGCTACCTCTGACTGCTGAATAGTAGCAGGGATCAAACCCAGGAAAGCATGTGTGCTAGCCCTCTCAACCATCTATTTCCCTGGTCACTGAAGCCGAATCTTCCATAAGAAAAAATAATAGGAAGCCAACAACATGGTAAAAGTAGTTCACGCTACAGATGCAATGAGGACAGTTGGAGACATAAGTTTGTCTTGCACGCAGCTAATCAAGGTTCAATCCTTGGTACTACATATTCTGCCTGGGCTAGGAGGTCTAGGAGTAAATCCTGAGAGACCACTGGGTGTGGCCCACTAAACAATAAAAAGCATCACTAAATCACCCAGAATGAATACTGTTGAGTACCTTGAATGAGAGGGGTAGGATAGAGGTGAGGGTTGTGTCGCTCTTTACTGAATTTTGTTTATTTTTGTTATACCTAGTTGTGCTCAGGGCATCTGGGGTAGGAGGTGGGGCCCTGGGGTCTTCCACAGGAAAGGCACAAGCACTACTTCTTGAGCCATATCTGGTCCCAAGCTGCTCTTTAAAAAAATTTCCCTTTAGGGCAGTTTGGTGAGACACTAGGCAATCTCCCTCTGCCTTTCAGGAGGGCAGTTCTGAGCTAAGGGCTGGCTCTTAAAGGCAAAAGAGGACAGTTAACAACAACAAAACCTTTATTTATGGATCTTGAAGTACTAATTGAGTGTGGAATATTTGCCAAAGACAAGAAAGCCACCCTAAACCAAGCAAATATTTTAGTGGTTAGAAGTCCAGAGAGATAATAAATAAAAGATAAAAAGAATCAAAACCGGCTGTTAGATCCCAGAGAGTAATTCCGTGTAGCAAAGACCTGAGCACAGGGTGGGCTGTGGGTACTTTTAAAAACTGTTTTTTTTTTCTGAGCACAAGTGCTTTCTGTGTCTGCCCTACAACGCCAAGCCCACTACATTTAGGAAACACAACACCAGCCTTTGTTGCACTCCTGAGTGGATAGTTTTGCTGCCCCATTTCTGGCTGTTCCTCAAGATCATAAACCACAGCACGCTCTGGTTTCTGAGAGTTCAGCAGTTCACGGATCCAGATGGAGCACCCAGGGTGGGGGGAGCACTTGAAGGTTTATTAGAGGAGCAAATGCGTAACTGCTGACTGGGAACACCACACCACTTCTCAGCTCCTGTTCCTCATGCTCTGGCACTTCATGCTTTGGGACCACGTTGGTGAGTCTGGAGTCACTTGGATGCAAGACTGTTCTTTCTCTGGTCCACGTGAGGCCACCTCAAAATGGTATCTCAGAAAAATAGGTGCTTGCTGCTATTATACATTTACATGGGTCTTCCTCTGCTTGGGCATCATAACCAAACACTGTAGGCTGGGCAGCTCAAACCAGAGCTTTTCAACCAGAACAGATGGTCCCTGTGTGCCCCCACGATATTCCAAAAGTCCAATTGGATGGAGATCACAGGGAAGATATAAGATGGAAAGGGGGACACAGATGGGAAAAAAAGGTGAAGAAAGCTGGCTCAGACCAGTGGTTTTCAACCTTTTTCTGCAGACAGCCCAGTGCCATGCTCTGTGCTGAGAATCCTCACTGGGTGATCTACCTCTTTATGTCCCAGGACAGTGGCTATTGGCTGAGAAAATGTTTTTCTCTTTCATCATTCTGGAGGTAGAAGTCCAAGATCAAGGTTCTGCCAACGTAGGTGTCTGAGGCCACTTTTTCTGGCTTGTGGGGCCTCCCTGATCCCACAGTGCACATGTGACTGCTGCTTGGTGGGAGGAAGGCAGAGAGAAGTACCAACTTTGCTTATTTCCTTTTTTTCTAAGAATATTAATTCAGGGGAAAGATAAATTACTGCATAGCTGACCCAGGTTGATTCCTGGCACTGTGCTGGGTATGGCTCAACCCTTCTCCTCAGTTAAAGTAACCCGACTTACCCCATCTTGGGGATCCCATCATCATGACCTAATTCAGATCCAATCAACACACTCCCAAAGCTCTCACATCCAAATTCAAAGGTTGCAGCTTCAACACACAAGTTTGTGTGGCCGGAGAGATAGTAGTACAGAGATCAGGCACTCTGCATGTTGCCACTTCGCTATAACCCTGATTCCATCCCTGGCACCTCATATGATCCACCAAACACTGCTAGGAGTAATCCCTGAGCATGAAACCCTGAGTAAGTCCTGAGAACAGCCAACTGTGCTCTTCTTTTCTTTTGATCCCCCCCAAAAAAAATCTAAAAGAAAAAACACAAAAACATACAATTTTCAGAGGGCATATTAATTCACTTAGTTCATAATATGCAGTGTACCAAACAGCACCATGTAAGGTGCAAATCAAATCTACTGACACTGGGCAGGAAAGAGTGCACAGGGCATTAAGGCACCTGCCTTTCATGCAGCAGAGCCCGCTTCTGATTTCTTTTTTTCTTCTTCTTCTCCTCTTCCTCCTCTTTCTCTTCTCTTCTTCTTCTTCTCCTCCTCTTCCTCCTCCTCTCCCCCCCTCCATCATCATCATCTTTTTTTGGGGGGGGTCACACCCAGCAATGTGAAAGGGTTATTCCTGGCTCTGCACTCAGAAATCACTCCTGATGGTGTTCTGAGGACAATATGGAATGCTGGGGGATCAAAGCCAACTTGGCAGCATGCAAGGTAAGTATGCCCCACCCACTATACTATTGCTCTAGGCCCCCACTTTTGACTTCTAGCAGCCCACATGGTCCCCTGAGCACCACCAGGAATGATCCCTGAGTACAGAGTTAGGAGTAAGCTCTGAGCACGCCCAATTTAGACACCCCACAAATGAAACAAAACAAATCTATCAACTTTGCATTGTTATACACACAGAAAAGTGTACCAGGGTAAGAATGTAGCTGGATGAATGTTCACTTAGTGAATTCACCAAAATAACCAATACCCAAGCCCCAAAAGAAGCTGGGTGAGAATTCTCGAGTCTTTATACTCCCTTCCTGTCCATACGGAAACCCACTGCCCCCAAAGGAAGGACCACCATCACAGATTCCTTTTTCCTGTTTTGTCTGTTTTCTTAATTGCATAAACGAATCCCACAGTTCAGCTTCTCTTTTGTCTGGTCTCTTTTGTTCAATGCTATGCTTGTTTGTGTTCACTTTTACTGCTGCACAGTATTTATTTTTTGGTGTTGTTGCTGCTTTGGTTTGCTTTGGGGGACACACCCTGGAGTGTTCAGGGCTTACTCCTAGCTCTGTGATCGGGGATCAATCCTAATGAGGCTCAGCGTATCATATGTGGTATTGGGGATTGAATCCAGGTTGGCGCATGCAAAGAAAGAGCCCAACCTCCTATTATTACCACTCCAGTCCTACACAGTATTTCATGCTACGAATCTTCTTTTTTTTCAAAACATAATATTTATTGAAGTTTTTCTGGTTACAAATATTGAACTTGACAACATATTGAGTGTACTCCATTATTATTAAACATGTTTAACTTGCTTTAGTCACTGTTAATGGTAGGGTTTCTTGCATAAATCATTCTAGTACCACACTTTTCACTAGAGTATCCACTCCCCTCCACCTTTTCCCCAGTGTCCTCCCCCATTTTATTTTTCCCTAACCCTTCATACTCCAATGAACTCCCAACCATGGTAAGCTTCCTACTGAAGAAGAGTTCTGAGTTTCTGTTGCTTTTGGACATTTGCTTCTGAGAAAGCTCATTCTGTGTCTGTCCCTCCTCCAACGATTTTCTCAGTATGATACTCCCCAAAGCTATCTATGTGATTGTAAATTGCATTTCATCTTTTATTACAGCTGGGTATATTCCATTGTATATACATATTATAGTTTCCTTATACAGTCATCTGCTCTTGGACACTTGGGTTGTTTCTAGATTTGACTTTTGTGAATAGTGGAACATTGGCATGGTAATGTCCTTTCTGGATAGAGTTTTTGGGCCCTCAGGTATATGCCAGGAAGTGCAACTGCTAGATAACATGGGTGCTCAATCTTGAGTTTTTTTTGAGAATTGTCCATATTGTTTTCCAAAAAGATCAAACCAGTCACATTCCCACCAGCAGTGAGCAAATGTCCCTTTCCCCCCAGATCCCTGCTAACATATGTTTTTGTTCTCTGTGATATGTGCCTATCTCACTGACGTGAGAGGTTATCTCATTATTATCTGGATTTTCATTTCATGCTATGAATCTTAACTTACCTCTTCTGCTATTGGGACACCAGTTGTTTCTAGTTGTTTGCTGTTATCTAGTAATGCTTCTCAAATATCATGTTTGCCTTTTGTACACATACACCCAAACATATAATCTCACATGTCCCTGGAAATACACTTAGGCCTCAAATTGATGGGCAGTAGAAAAAGGTGCAGCCATTTGTGGAGATAAAACAGTTCCAAAATGGTAGGATGGGGGCCAGAGAGTTACTACAGAGGGTAGGGCAAGCACTTGCCTTGCTTGTGATTGACCCGGAGTCAATCCCTGGCACGGCACCACACATGGTCTCCTGCTGATTTCTCTTTTTCCGGGGGGTCACACCCGGCAATGCAGGGGTTACTCCTGGCTCTGCACTCAGATATTACTCCTGGTGGTGCTTGGGGGACCATATGGAATGCTGGGAATCGAACCCAGGTCGGCTGTGTGCAAGGCAAATGCCCTACCCGCTGTGCTATCTCTCCAGCCCCAGCCCTCCTGATGATTTCTGAGTGCAGATTCAGGAATAAGCCCTGAGCAACGCTGGGTGTTGTCCAAAACTAAGCCAAAACCAAAACTAAAGTGTCAGGATGGTGCCAGAAAGACAGTACTGGGATTAAGGCACTGCTCTGCCCATGCTGGCCTTGGTTTGGGTGCCCTAATCACTACTGGGAGTGACCTGACTCACAAATACCCAAAACAAAAAGATCAAGATGGCAGAATAAATTTACTCTGCTGCCACTCAATTCATCAGTTCCTCTTGTCCCCAGTCCTGACAATATTTGATAATGTCAGTCTTTTAAATGTTTATCATTCTTGGGCCAGAGAGGTAGCTCCATAGCTGGAGTGCAGGCTCTGCATATGGAGGCCTGGGTTTCAATCCCAGCACCACGTGTTCCATCCAGGACTGACAGGAGTGATCCCCAAAACCTATCAGGAGTTAGCTCCTAAGCACAGCTAGGTATAGTCTCGCAACCAAATAAATGTTCACCATTCTAAATGTAAACTGTACTTTCCTTTTGTTATTATGCAGCTTAAAATCTGTATCTTCCTGAAGTCATCCACACTGCACTCTGTGTGTGTGTGTGTGTGTGTGTGTGTGTGTGTGTGTGTGTATGTGTGTGGTGAAGGGGTGGTGTTGAAAGGAAAGGGGGTATTGAGGTCCGTGGGGAAGGGATGGGTATGGTGTTGAAACTCTGTATGAGAAACCACGATTAACAGCACTGTAAACCATGGCTTCAACAACAACAAATTAAAATTTAAAAAATTGCATGTCCCAGATCCTAATGAAACTGGGCACCTTGCATATTTTTCTATCTATTTGAATATGTTCTTTTATAAAGTGACTGGTCAAGTCTATTGTCCATTTTTCTTCTGAATTTTGCTTCTTAAACTTTATTGACTGGGTGGGTGAGAGAGCTCAATGGCCTGGATTGGGATGCTTCGCATGTCAGATCCCCGGGTTTGATTCCTGGCA